ATTTAGTTTGTCACTGCCATCTTCATAATGTGTTTTAAGCGACAAGAAATATTTTCTTCCACGTGTTCTACTAATTATATGTATGAGAAAGAAATATGAAAGCATGTGTATCACCTTTCTCTCAAAATTTTACAAAGTTTTCCATAGTTAAGGCTTATTCCAATAATCTGTGTTTCCTTGAAGATATACAGGGTTATTTTGCCTTCACCTGCGCTGCGACTTAATCAAATATACAAGAAGTCTAGACATATGATTTAAGATCGTGCCTGTGCTATATTCAGCTGTAAATTTCAATTGTGATATGAATAAAAGTTTTGTCTTCTTTATAGGGTAAAGGTGATTAATGAGCACACAGTACAACTGATGATAAGTGAATACTGTGGCCTGTAGACATATACATCTTACCTCGATTAGGAATTAACATTCAGCTATGTTGCTTCAGGAGACTAAGATTGAACGACTCATTTCCAGTAAAAAGGGTCTCCGGTTCTCTACGCTCACCATACGAAACACTACTATTTTACTTTGGTATTCTGCGAGGGCGTGTTCGGTCTGCGTCAAGCCGGCCCATTCGTGCTATAACCATAATATAACTGCAGCATGGCTCTATCGAAAGATGAGGTGTCGAAGCCGAGACTGTGTAGAAAAATTTAGGCCCCGACTTGAAAATGTGAAGTTATTTTAAATAAAAATGTGTGCTAGGTACAGTAAAAAAACAGGCCAAGATCGTGTCGGGCCACGCTCAGTATAGGGTTCCGTAGTTTCCCGTCCGTCACAATAAGAGTTCCCACTTATGGGTTTAAAGTTGGGTATCCATTATGTTCGCGCTCCAGCAGCGCTCCGCGCTCCTGCAACTGCTCCCGTTAGTGGGTACTGTTGTTTCCATCCAAGTTCAAAATGATTTTCCTAGAAAGTCCTTATAAAGTTCTACTTTTCAGATTTTTTTCATATTTTCTAAACTTATGGTTCAAAAGTTAGAGGGGGGGGGACACATTGTTTTTTACTTTTGGAGCGATTATTTCCGAAATTATTGACATTATCAAAAAATGATTTTAGTAAACCTCTATTTATTTTTAAATACTTTTCCAACAATATATCACACGTTAGGATTGAAATTAAAAAAAAAATCACTTCCCACTTTACATATAGGGGAGCTACCCTAATAAAACATTTTTTCCAATTTTTATTTTACCACTTTGTCGGCGTGATTGATACACATACTGTATAAATTTCAGCTTTCTAGTGCTAACGGTCACAGAGATTAAGCGAGGACGGACAGACAGACATGGCGTAACTATAAGGGTTCCTAGTTGACTACGGAACCCTAAAAAAAGAGTTTATGCAGGCAGCTTTAACTTGCAACTTGTTTTAAAAAATGTTCTGAGTGTGCAAAGGTACTTACTGAAGTTTTTATATCATTTATATAATTGTGAACAAAGCTAAAAAGTTATAACTTATAACGCACACAACAGACAGAGTAGTGGGAAGATGATTATTTTTGCTTGTGTACCAAATACCTTTGTTTACTGTACAATATTACTGGAATGAAGATCCCTGATCCCCTATTATATAGTATTTTTAATATAAAATAACAATGATTAGTTGAGTAAAAATGAAATAAACGGTCTTAAAAATCAATACTTATTTACATAGTATTATATTGGTGTAAAGGAACATTCTGCACATAATTTATCACAAATGGTAAGTTATACAAGCAAGTTGGGTCCTGCTGGATTATTATATTTTATTTTCATTAAATGCAGCTATATTATGATTGTTACATGAATGGGTCGGCTCGATGAAGGGCCACGCTCTCACACGTAAAATAGCAGCCTAATACTTTTCTGTGTTTCGTATGGTGAGTGTAGAGATCCGGAGACCCTTTTTTACTGGAATCGAGACATTCCATCTTAGTACTCAGGGGTGACAATGTGTCTGCGTTTTGATTCTTAATCGAGGATAAATGTAGATGTCTATGGGCCACAGCGTCTACTTACCATCAGGTGGACTGCGTGCTCGTTTGTCACCCTTATTCTATATAAAAAAATTAAATGAAAAATATTATTATTTTGCGCAGATACATTAATTTAGTTCATTTAAAATTGAAAATCTGACATGATCATGAAACGGTGGATGAAATCTGATATCTAGAATTTATAAACTATTATTATTATTATTTATTCATTTCTGAACAAAGTTAATTTACTAAAATAATTTCTATACGACACTTTGTCGCTGTTTTTCCTTGTATGGTAATCTGAACTAAATAAATTACTAAATTATGCATCTTACATAAATAAATAATTAAAAAATCCACCATTATACTTGAACTAGGCTTAAAGACGTTTATTTGCTTAGAAATATGCTGAAAAAGTTACAATATTATTAGTGACGCAATTTTAACTACTTCATTCATTGAATTACTAGTAGTCAAAATATAGAAGTATTTATAAACACGTGACATGATGAAATTATGCTTCATAAAATTATTTTAATTTATAAATCAATTGCCGTATGTTAGTCTTGCAAAAAAAAAAACAGAAATACCTCGAGGCCCTCAACCAATTTGAATGAAAAAAAATGGTTTGTTAGTCTCAGTAACAGGGTGGTTTAGAAAAAAAATTAAGAGTTACAATCATATCAATGTTAGGTACTTAGGATCATCTAGTACGAGGGCGGCACTGAAAATTTCGGGAATCAGGGAAGTGACACAACAGTACTATTTAAAAATGTATTTATTGCTTGTCGAAGTATTCTCCGCGAAATTTGACACATTTTTACATACGATGGAACCAATCAATCAAGCAACCATTCCATTCGGAAGTTGGGGTCTCCAAAATGGCTGTTTTGTAGGCGTCCACAGCTTCTTCAGGTGATGAAAATCTATGTCCACGCAACTTATTCTTTATTTTAGGCAAAGTATAGAAATCATTAGGGCTTAGGTCGGGGCTGTACGGCGGATGGTCTAATAATTCTATGTTTTCTTGCTCTAAAAACTCTTTTGTTCTGTGTGCGGTGCGAGAACTCGCATTGTGGTGATGGAGGATGATGCGGCGGTTGCAGTTCTCTTTACGAAGTTCAGAAATCACCTGTAGCAAACAAATGCTAGCATACCATTCTGCATTAACCGTTCTTTGTCCCTCAGGAGGAATAGTCGTAACATGGCCGGTTTTGGAGACAAACGTGGCCACCATTTTTTTTTTCAACACTCCGTGAACGAACAATTTTTGTTGGCTTTAACTCATTTTCGAACACCCAAACTCGTGACTGGTTTTTTGTTTCGGGTTCGTACGCGTATATCCAGGATTCATCACCTGATACGATATTGTATACAGCATTTGAGGAATATTTCGAGAGTTCTGACGCACCAAGTAACGCGAGCCGGTTTTTGCTCTTCGCAGAGCGAATGCGGTATACATCGGGAAAACAACTTTTTTACACCTAATTGTTCATGCAAGATTATTTGTATTTGACTCATGCCAATGTCTAAAGTTGCCTGAATTTCGCGGTATGTCACATGTCGATCTTCCTCAATCAGCTTACGCACAGCATCAACGTTTTCTTGGGTGACTGCAGTTTTTGGACGACCTTGACGAGGATCATCACTGACCTTGACACGTCCACGTTGAAATTCAGCAAATCAGCGGTTAAATTGTGGTTTTGGATGGGTCTTTAACACCAAATGCAGAAATCATTCGGTCAACACACTGTTTTGTGTTAAACCACTTCGAAAGTCATAGTAAATCATCGCTCTTGAATTTTCTCGAGTCAATTACATTTTCTCAACGACTAAACAAGTTTGACAAAACCTTGTGACACGATCGGGAATCTTTTTTTAAATAAATAAATGTAATTCGATTTTTAAAACCAAGGAGTTTTCAATTGAAAAGATTTTAATATGACAGGAACAGTGGAAATATTCCATTCCCGATACTTTTAGTGCAGCCTGTGTAGAGCCATGCTGCAGTTATATTAGTAGTATAGTTGTAGCACGAATGGGTCGGCTCGACCGAGGAAGCACCACGCTCCCACAGAGTAAAGTAAAAGTAAAGTTACAGCCTATATATGTCCCACTTCTGGGCTCAGGCCTCCCCTCATTTCTGAGAGGGTTTAGGGCAAGGAAGTGTCCGCCGCGCTGCCCAAATGCGTGTTGACGAACTTCACATGTCTTCGAAATATTGTTTTTTCTTATTCCTCAGACATGCAGGTTTCCTCACGATGTTTTCCTTCACCGTATATTTACATGTCTATGCAAATAACCTATAGTTCCAATTCCAAATGTTAGATGGCCCATCCTGAATATTGAATACTAATATAACGTGCCACAATTTTTATATTCACTTATTAATGTAATAGTCCTGCTGTGCCTACTGGTTGTGTGACAAGTGCTTAGTCTTTTTTTCTTTTTCTTTTCTTTTTTTTTTTTTTGTTCCGTGCGGGATTCGAACCCGCGGCGCAGTCACTCATTGCTAAGCCACTGCGCCACGGAATCGTCGTTAGTGCGTGTGAACAGACGGTGACAAGTGATCATTGTGAATAAAATTCGCACTAAGTGCTTGTCATTTGTCAGTTGCACTTGCTAATCGCACTTGTCACTTCTCAAAAATGTAAAAGGGCCTAACTTCATAAGGCCCGGTTTAGATTTTGAGAAGTGACAAGTGCGAGTGACAATGACAAGTGACAAATGACAAGTGTATAGTGCGTGTGAACAGGCAGTGACAAGTGGGAATTAAATACCACTTGTCACTTCTCACTTGCCACTTGTCAGTTGTCACTCGCACTTCTCAAAATGTAAATCGGGCCTAAAACGCACTCGCCTAAAAATATTTTGTTGGTTACAAATGATTAGTCAAATGTGTTTGTAAATACTTGTTCTTATTCTTTGAGAATGGTCTTGACTTGGTTTTTGCATCACTTCAAATGTTATTCTATGTGTGCTGGTCTAATATGGTGTTAAAATAATGTGTTACAAATATAAAGACAGACTTCTTCTATTTCAGCCACACAGAAGTCCAAACCGGAGACCGTACCTAACGAACTGAAAGCGCCAGTTGCAGCCAAAACGCAGTGATATCGCCCCACAAAAGCTGTAAATACCCACGGACTAGCGAGTGCACTGTGCTACTTAATATAGCGTTATTGCATTTTATATATACATATATATAAATAAATTTAAAAAAAAACCTAAATGAAGTGACTAATATAGTGCTGGGGACACTGCGTTGTTTTTATTTATCGTGTTAGTTTGTTTGTACGTCTGCGCTGACGGTTTCGACGGGAACGGTGTCTGGGGATGCAGGCTGCTTTATACGTGGAGCCTAGGTGAGTTGCTTTATATCTAAGTTTCCTTGTAATACATACTATAAGTGCATTGCTCGATTTTACAAAAAATAATACCTGATTCAATGCTTTATTTGCCTTTACATAAAAAGTATGTAAAAACACTTCGATCAGAAAAGCATATTATACAATTGACAATTACGTTAATGACATAAACGCCTTGTCATTTCAAAGTCGTTCCATACACAATAATTTAAAGAAATGTAATATTATTTTAGTATTATATTCATCTATGTTCATTAGTAATTTATATTTAAATGTTGACATTGATTGACAATGATATCTGTTAAAAATTGTTACTGGTCGCCGTGGCCGAAATTCGGTCTGGAGGACATTATTATTATTAATCCGTCCCCCTCTGTAATCTGACATGCACACTTAAACTTGTAGGTAGATTCGTGACGCGCTATGAATCTGCCAATGGGAGAAGTGTCCTTCGCGAATACGTGCACAAACAGGTAGCAATTAGTTCGCGCCACCACGAATCTAGCTTGACGCGTATTGTCTCAATTCAAATGTAACTATGGTAGCGGCCTAGCGGTCTTTCATTATTTACTGTTTAGGTATTCATTGTGCGTCACATGACATTTTTATTTTTTAATATTTTATATTTGATATATATTCTGTCGGATTACAAGATAGTCTTATTCAAAAAGTTCCAGACTACCAGGAGGCTGTGGCAGTACTCTATAGTCCGACAAATTCGATAATCCGACACCGCCTTGCAAAACGTTTATCGGATTTCCGCGGGTCCGCTATATCGATTTTTCATGTAATTTTACAATTAATAATGGTTTTTCTAAAATGTAAATTCAAACGCCAGTGACATCATATAGATTTACTAATGCCACTGCATGGTGAAATGATAAAATACTTATGTTTATATTGCCAAAATCAAAAGACTGTTAATGCATAATACAGGTTATATATGTTTTGTTATGACACGTGATTCAAATTGTGATTTGTATTTTCACAAAAGTATAGCATTCAATGGATGTAAAGACGTCACAACCAATCACGAGTCGTTTTTAACTATTTTTTATTAACTGTTGCTAAAAAAGTCGAATTTTTAATTAAAAAAAGTATTAAAATATACTTTAAATGAATTATTCTTTCATTTATGTATGTTTGTGGCAAAAAAATTACTTCAACTTTTCTATTTCTATGATACTTTCTTTGAAAGGTGGTTCCAAGGGTGATTCCATATAAATTTGGCGAAGATCTGGGACTGGGTTCCATAAGGAAATCACCCAAGAACCCCATATGTCTGAATATATAATTATTTACCACACCAAATGATTTCGATGATTATACTCTTTTTTAAGTTTTTGAAGTCGGTTTTTACTAAGATATGTTATATATTTAAAGTTACAGCTTATATGCCCAGGCGTCCTCATGGATTTCTGAGAGGGTTTAAGGGCAAGGAAAATCTATAATACGTTATACCTAAGATAAAATTTGAACTAGTTTAAGGCACCAGTTTTTCACGCATTAAAAGAATTGTTGCCCAGGTATAAACATAATATATTGGATATTGTTGGTGGAAATATAAATTACATTAAAAAAAAATTGAAAACCTCCAAAAAAGGAAACGCTAGTGGTCTTCAAACAACTGATAAAGATTTTCCTGAAACATTGCTAAAAACACTCTTGATCAAGTCACCTTTCAAGCAAAAAAAAAACTAAATAAGTTCATACATTTGGGAGTTACGATGTCAAAAACAGATACACCGATACTTACACACGTTAAACATATAACACCTGTGTATTTGCGTCGAACGATAAAGATTTATTAAAAAAAATATTTTTTTTAAGTTAAATTCTAATCGTCATCAATTTTCCCACTTAAATGTTTAACTTTCTTTGTTCCAGCTTGTACGCATCGACAATAAGTATCGCCGCGCGGTCTTTAGACGCCACGAAATACCCTAATCTTTGACATTAGCCCCTAGTGTAAGTATATAATGCCTACTATATATATATATTTATGTATACATTTTTGACATTGTAAAAAAATACCACATTCGATACGAACATGCAGTCATTGATTAATACTAGTGATGATTTTGTTTTTTCTTTTCTATGTAGTAATTTAATTCCTAATATATTTCGAAATGATTTAAAAAAATAATAGGTTCTTTTTTTTGGTTAGTAAGATGCTTGTGTAGGGTGTAAGGATTTTTTCAGTGGTAACACTGGGTTTCTTTTCTCTGGTGCTGCGGATAATATTGTCAATGGTCCTAGCCGCGTACGCTTTCGGTTGCGTTTAAAAGTCATCGGATCTCTTGTGTTTTATACTATTAGGTGGTTAAACTTGCACTTAATAAAATAGCTTTCTAGAATCTGGTACAATTTACGATGCGGACTCACGCCGTCTCGCTCTGGTGTTGTATAGTTGTCCCCCTCGTAATTGTACTTCTAGCGAGCTAATTCATGCCGTGTTCGAATGGCATTTAGGTTCAAAATTGTATAACTGTACAGAATGTTGATATTTTCTAGTAGACAAATTGATATTACGATGACTTGAAACTGTCAGAAGACTGGTTAACGCATGTTCTTTAAGAGGGAATTTATAAAGAAACGACCTTTGTTATTTTAATGTAGCATTCGAACAGCATAGTTTTTATATTTCGTATCCGTGAGTTTTCCTTGGAAATGCATTTTGGATCTGTTCACATAAACTGCCAATTTGTTGTACAAATAACGAAAAGCACATAGATTTCAGTCGATTTGTGTGGTAGTCGTAGATGGCTTTTTTAATTGATACAAATGCTGATGTTTTTAGTTAAGTTGGTAGACATTAATCTGTCCCAAAAAAAAGTTTTAACTGAAATTCATATGTCGCAATTCGTGTTAAAATTTTGACGAATTTATTTTCGCTGGTCGATTTTACCGTCAATTTTCTAGTTTTTCGAGAGCGATTGTTCAATGTATTTCTCTGTTCACACGAGCACATAATTTCTTGACATTAATAGCTACTGCATAGTTTAAATAAGTTATCTACGATCGCCATTCGTAATGACTATAGCATCTAAACACTGTTATGTTTTAATAAATATATTTTAAGAGTTTTTTTTTAATGTTCCGTGTCTCGCATTTAGCGTATTGTACCATAACATATAAAGAGATATCCGTTGAAAATAACAATAGTAACTCATAATATTCACTCATCCAAAATCGTGTAATGTAATATAAAAATTAGTTACAAACCTCTTAACTTCAATTTTAAATAAATGCTCCAATAAACTTCAGTCTGAAAGACGTTTACACAAGATGTCATTTCTGTAAGATGTAGTGCCGGTATATTTTATAATCTAAAAATGGAGGAGCACTACCATGTACGACTAAACTTTTCATTATAATGTTTGACGTAATGGTAAATTAAATTTGTAAGCCATTCTAAATTCATCGAAAAAGATTGTACATAGAACAAATAAAATTAAGGATGTACGACTAAAAATTCTGTAATCTAATTATAAATCTTTGTTTGAAGTTGGTTGCCAATGGTTGTCCATATGGACTTCAGTTTTATAAAAAAGTAAATTTGCATTTCTACAATGGGTATAACAAAAATGTCTATACGCTGGATGCGACCCACACTACCACTATTTCCTAGGCTCTACACGTTGGTCTAAACGTTGGCTCTAACACCATATGTCCAACGTGTGAACGTTGGCGCAAGCGTTGGCAGTTGGCCGGCCCTTGTCAGTTTCATCAAAGGAAATCTGTGCCAACGTTCGCGATTCGTACACACGTTGGCTACTTGTCCTGACGTATCGTATTGCGACACGCGTCAATAGCGTATGTAAGAATAACTTCCTCAAAACTATTAAAATGGAATGTATATAGGTAAGGAACTCACTGGTTTGAGTTTTATAATGTGTTGTCTTCCAGCATTTTTTTAGCGTGGCTGCTATTTTTTCTTTTTTCCATTAATAACTAATAATGACATATACTCAGTAATGTAAACGCTTCTAGCGCAATTTCTATATCAGACATTTGCTCTGGACTTAAACTAGTATAATAGCCAACATGTGGTTGCCTAGTAAATCAACCAGCCAACATTGGAACCAGCATTGGGACCAACGTGTGGAGTCGGCATTCTTGTGCTGAGATCGCTAACTTGCTCAAGTTTTTTTTTAAAAGTTCGCAACATTAGAAATGTTGTCACGAGCCAACGTATTGATTATTCAAATCGACACATGTACGTAAAACATTTAAAACAAAGCGGGACGCTGCAGCGCTTCCGTATAGTCGCTTTGGAAAATCAATTTCACATAATAATAATAATAAACTGTATATTGCACTAAATAATAATAATAATGATAATAAAAACGAAAGATAAGTGTGTGTTGATATGGTTCTTTTATTTTTTTAGTGTGTAAGATTGCTTTTTTTAAATAAACCAGCGTGCGTGTGGCGCGTGTGCCTCGATTTCTGTTTTTTGTATAAAGAAAAAGCGCTCCTGACGGGTTAAAATAGTGACGAAAATATTTTAAAAAACTACCAAAATTGTACGTATTAGTAATTTCCATGTGGCACGCACGTCACACTACGCCGCCCTATTTAGTAACTACTAGGTTTAAACGTCTCTTGACTTCGCTTGGATCGCTTCTATCACTTTGTATGTAAAATAGTTCCTATTATTATGTTATGAGTAAACATTAAAGGTTTTCTTTTAACTTTAGACTGACACAGGAATCGTATTTGCATAGGAAATTGTCGTAGTTA